AGTGACTCACAGGCGTGCTGTGGCTTCCCTCTGTCTTTTCCAGAAATATTTTCATGGCAACTGCTCTGGCGAGCTACTTCCACTGTTACCCCAACTGCATGAATTTAAGCGTTCTACTAGGTTGGCAATTCGGTCCCACCTTTTCACTGTCGAAACAGTTAAATGTAACCGCCTCTTCTATTCCAACAGCTTCTTATCTCGCACTTCCCGACAGTGTAACTCCCCTTTCTCTTACTTGCTTCCCTAATAGCTATAATATTCAAATATTCAAATGTAATGTCTATTGACATATTATGGTGCATGGATCGAGTTCTTCGTGTATGGATATGCAATGTGATAGATCCTGATCTGGCATCTCGTCAACAGTCACTTTCTCACAGACGTGCTGTGGTCTCCCTCTGTCTTTATATATTTATTTACACGCACACACACACACAGATATTATATATATATATATATATGCACGCGCACACACACAGATATATATATATATATATATACATATATACACGCACACACACACATATATAAGCACACACATATATATATATACACACACACACACATATATGTATATATATACACACACACACACACACATATATATATATACACACACACACACACACACACACATATATATATATATATATATATATATATATATATATATATATATATATATATATATATATATATTGCTTATTGTACGAGTAAACAATGTTCAGGATCAGGATTAGGAGCCCCCTAACAGATTAGGGTCTTACGGATACCACACGTACTGAACTAGTATCTGAAATAGTGTATCCTGTGTAACATGGACTAATGGAACCCAACTCTCACCAGGTTGATTTAAATTCAGAATTTTTCATCACCTAGACTGGTTGCCAGTCAAGGCTATCTTACGGAGCGTAGAGATGTCTAGAATAAAAAAGTTACTCAATTCCCTTGCTATTTTCCTTTTTTTTTTGTATGTGTGCATATGTTACGCGTACTGAAACCGTGGCAGAAGTGGTGTGTCCTGGGTAGGATCGACTAACTAAAGAAGTTAATTTAGTATTATGCGATGTACAGCTTTTTGTGGACGATTTTTTGGGTCACCGATTTAGGAAGATTAAGCCATCAATTTTCTAGGGTTAAAGATCAAGCATGGTAGAGAAGAAAAGCAAGAAGAAAGGACTAAACATCAATTGCAAGAAGATATAATTCATGCTTGTTAGCAAAAGGAACAGCTAACATGCAAATTACAAATTAGGGTTACCAAAATCAATCAAGTACAAAATTTTAAATGGAAGAAAAATGCTATACTGAAACCTAAAAGTGAAAGATGCCTTCCATAAGCTAAGCAAAGTATTAAGAAACAGGAAAATGTCAAACTGGACAATCTCATCACAAATGAAGAAGAATTGTTGCAACAGAAATGTGGTTCTACAGAAAGATGCTGAGAATTACATATGAGCTACGACGAAGTTTTAGATAAAATGGCAATGATTCTTAGATAATTAGAAGTCCTACCAAGCTTCATTATTGGCGGCCACAATCTTAACAGCATAAAATATGCAGATAATACAGTGTTGATTGTCGACATGGAAAGAAACCACAGAAGGTATTACAGAAAAGGAAAGACAAAAGGAATGGTTGTGAAATTAGCATGGGGGTGTCAGAGTAATAAACTGAGGGTGATTCGAATCCGTGAGAGTAGGGCGTGTCAGAGTAAGAAACGTCTAAAATAAAGTAGGTGGATCATCTGGAAATTGAAGAAGAAAGAGATATAACTGAAGAGAAATAGAGATTATAGACAAATATTGAAGTAACTTACTTTTTTTTATAAAATGCGACTGTCGTGAATGTATTAGATTGTGACGTCGTCCCCCGGTCGCAGCGCCAACTGTGACGTTCTATCCTGATCTACCACGGCGCCAGTTGTGACGTGGTCGTTCCAGGGTCCTATCCCGGTCACGACACCAGATGTGACGTCCCTAAACAGCACCAATTGTGACGTCTTCGCCGCGGCGCCAGCTGTTCGCACCTCGCTGCTCCGTCCGGGTGTCGCTGCTTCAAACGTGACGTTCTAACCCTTTGGTGATTCGGGTAGAAATCTGGTTAGATTTGATATCAGCCTCGCCGTTCCCAACCTGCTTCCAACGCCTGATTACCAGGGTAACTGCACTGATCTCTAGTCTGCCTACCCACGTTGTGAATTGATCTTAGACAGACGAGATCAAACAGGGGTTGGGGCCGTAATGCAAATTGAGTTCAACGGGGGTGATAACACACAAATATGCATAAAAAGAAAACAAAATGAAAAAAAAATTCAAAGTATCAAAGAAAAAGGTAACAAACTTTTTATGTCTAGTTGTTCGGTACATAGGACTGCATCTACCTCCCGACCCGTTCTGTGGATTGTGGCACGTCGCTTTCGCTAGGCAAGTTTTAACGCTTCAAGTTGTCTGCTCTCTAAGAAATTTGTGTTTCGGTGTGTCTTTGGACGAAAGTCGAAAAACTTATTTCTGTGGTCTGGTTCTAAGTCGCTCTTCAAACTAATTGTTCTTGGTTGAAGAAGAGTCAACAAATTTTGCGTGAATCTTGGTCAGCTATCTTGATCTATCATCTCTGCCGTCCTGTCTGAATTAACTGTCTTCTCTGCCCGCCTGGGTCGAACGAACTGAACTAACTCTGCCTGCCAGAGTCCGACGAACTGATTTCTGTCTGGTGGGGCTTCGTTTTTATTGACGCCGTCAAAACCGGGGTGGGTCTGTTGGCGTCAGGGGTTCTTCGATAATTCTAAATACATATCCACCCTTCTTATTTCTGGTTAGGGATTTTCCACTCTTTTCCATTTTTGGTAACTCTTTTCTCACTCCCACTTTCTCACCATGCTTCTGAGGGGCGTGAACTGCCCTCCCCACTTCTTCGTAGCGGCTTCTCATACTTATACTCTGGATAGGGCGTCGACTGTTTTCTTCGGGCGTCACGTGACCACTCTCGGCCAATGAGGTCCTGGTCGGGTATCTTTCCTCCTCCTTCGTGCGTCATGTGATCACCACTTGGCCAATGATGTCTTAGTCGGGCGTGAACAACCCGTGGCTTTGTTTTGGAAAAGAAATATACCTTGCTTAACTAAAAAAAATTAATGAACTCTCCTCTTTCTTTCTTTTCTTTCTTTCAAATTGCCGTTATCATGGGCGGTTAATGTGACAACTCTCTGTTCAACACGTGGCGTTTGTCAAGCAGTTTATCGGTAATGCACTGGACAGCTGGATTATCTGACATGGTCTAAGAAAGGAATTTTCTCCAAGTTTTTCGCCAATTTGGCGTCTCCAAAGCAGAAATGAAAATATGTCAGTTTCCTTCGGTTCATGTGTTTGATAACAAAATTTTATTATCGCAGGGCAAAAGTCTATTCTGTCAAAAAAAAACTTAGCCAGTGAAACTACTTGTGTGGGATTTTAATTTTCCATACCCAGCCAAGGCCCCAAGCCACACCTGTGTTTCGTCAATTATCAAAATCTAACGTTCTAAAGTGGACTTCTTCTTTGGTGACATCTCTTGATAACACAATTCCATTTTTCGCGGATTAGCGGAAATCGGTCAACGCTTGTTCGCAGGTGGCCTAGATATTGATAACACCTCCTCGCCCACTCAATCTCATTGTCATTGAAATGAAACTCCTTTCGACATTTGATACCTATCAAAAATAACCCTTTTCTTTCTTATTCCCGTCTCTTAAGCCGCGTGTGTGTGTGTTCGCCTATGACCCGTCTCGTATTACTTTTTCCTTTTCTTTTTCTTCGTTTTCTCTTTCCTTCTTCCAAATCGCCTGAATGCATGGCGGTTCAATCCTCTTGTAAAAAAAAGAAAGAATTATTCTTAAAACCTAAAATACATTTCGGCCTTAAATAATCCTCAAATGGTTGATAAACCGTAAAAAAGCAAATCATATATCTATAAATATATCTTTCAAATCGCCTGGATGCATGGTGTCACAATGTCCTACCAGGATTTATTACTGGAGGACACAATCTTAACAACGTAAGATATGCAGACGGCACAGTGTTGATAACAGATACAGAAAAAAACTACTGGAATTCCTTCAGAAATTAGTCAAGTGAAGTGAAAAGAAGGCAGTAAACATCAATAATCAGAAGACAGAATCTACAATTGTCAGAAATGTGAGCAGACTAAGATGCCAATTATGATTTGGAGACAACAGAATCAAGCAATTACCAAAATTTAAATATTTTGGAAGTGGTATAACTGAGGACGGAAAATGTGACACCGAAATCCGAAGGTGCATTGCAATAGCAAATGATGCCTTTTAAAAGCTAAGCAAAGCATTAAGAAACATGAAATATTTGTTAGATACAATGAAAAGAATACTAAACTGTTATGCAAAGTCCTCCTATATAGCAATTAATATTGGACAATCTCCTAACATACGAAGACGAGATTTCAGGCAACATGAACGTGGTTCTACAGAAGGATGCTGATAATACCATGGAGTGAAGAAGTGATTGAATCATTGCAACTTATACCAAACACCGGGTTTGGTCTCGGGCTGTAACTCATTCCAGTCAAACGCTCGAGAATTAAGAAATAACTCTTTGGTTAGATCGTTACCCACAACAATAAAACCATGCCGAGTTGTATCTGTAAACAGATTTTATTCTCGGGTTGTAACATGCTGCATCTAACATCTTGCACCTTCCGACATTTTTCTTTTCCCTCAGCTAAAGGGGATCATCAAGGGAACCTGTTTAGAAGGCGACTAGGGTATCAGGACGGTCGTAAGGAAGAAGCTGAGAGACACTTCAAGAAGATTTCTTCCAGCAGTGCATAGAAGCTTAACAGAGAAGGATGGAAAATCACATTAGACTCGAGGGGATTGCCTTGAAAGGAAAACCATGTAGTTTGTTGTTTGGAATTGAAAAAAAACTATTGTCCCATTACTTTTCAGACAGGCCTCATATATGAGTCGACATAGCTTTCAAGATTGCGGAATGCTTTTAAATGTTCTCGCAATGTATCATAAAAGGGAGGATTTGATTGGACACCTGGACGAGCAGGTAACTAATAACAAAAACCGTGACAACGGGACAGAACCTCGTACGCATAACCAAGCTTATGTTTGATTCGTCAGGCAACTACTGACTTTCCCATCGATTCTTTGATGTCGCTTTCCAATTCAATAAAAACAACACAATGTTCAAAGAATGGTTGCAGTAAGAGATTGTAATTAAATATACGACAACAAAGTAAGCTCGCCGCCAGAATTGAATCGGAGAAGATGATGTTTAATTATGAATGCAGGAACTGATTATCTCTTGCAACGGAAGACATGGATCATCAATCGGAAACAATCGCATATCCGGGCTTTTTAAAGCCATTATTTCATTAGATTATTTGAAATTGCGAAAGGGAAGTTTACATACCATGGGAATAGATAAGAAATAATTATATATATTCTGACGAAATATTATATATATATATATATATATATATATATATATATATATATATATATATATATATATATATATATATATATATATATATATATATATATATATATATGTGAAAAGTGAATATAAATATATATAAATATATATATATGTATAATTATTTATATATTATATATGCTAGTACTTATTAGAAAGCGCTCAATATCAGAGATAGAGCTAACATATTTGGTTGATAGATGTGAGTTTGTGATTTGGTTTCACGCTTTAGCGATCGTCACTGACGATCTCTAAAGCGTGAAACCCAGGGTCACAAACACATCTATCCAACTAAAATATATATATATATATATATATATATATATATATATATATATATATATATATATATATATATATATATATATATATATATATATATATATATATATATATATATAGTGTTACACTAGAACATGCACATACCCACTACAAAACTGTACATTTGTTTCTTTAACGTTGAAACTAGATGTGCAGTTTTGTAGTGGGTATGTGTTTCTAATGTAACTCTGCATAATAAAACAAACATTTATTGTTTTACTTTTATATTGAGCTCTGTTTTAAATTAATGTTTTGAACGATGAAATGTCTTTACATCTGAATATATATATATATATATATATATATATATATCATATATATATATATATATATATATATGTGTGTGTGTGTGTGTATCACAGCTCATCAGTGTGTCTAGACATCAGGTTGCCTCTACCTACGATCGAAATCCGACTGAATTGGCTTCAGTTGGGGATTCTACCACTAAGCCGTTGGCACACGGCAGGGATGAAGGTGAATTTAAGTGTATTTATTTTTAGATAAACACTCAGTGACTGAGAGAACTCAATTTGATATACCGAAGAGTCTTGCATTATTAGCTGTAATAGTCACTGTTTAAAAACCCACACTTCCTCCCCAGAGAGATCAACCGAAATAAATTTTTCAGGAGCATATATTGTCATCCACAGACAGATTGTTTCGCTGTATCACAGCTCATCAGTGTGACTAGACATCCGCTTTCCTCTAGCTAGGATCGAAACTCGACTGAATTGGCGTCAGTCGGCGATTCTACCACTAAGCCGTTATTTTAAGACATTTTTATGTTTCTACATTCTTTTTTTAGATACAACTATTTAAGTAAATGCTCTGTTTACAATAAAGAGTATTAAACAACATTTACCGGCCTGAATGTTTATTATAAACAGAGTATTTACTTAAATATGTGTATCGATAAAAAGAATGTATAAACATAAAAATATCTTAAAAATTGTCGGACTTCGTCCATTTCATAACATATATATATATATATATATATATATATATATATATATATATATATATATATATATATATTAGGTTGGTGCAAAATTAATGACATAATAATGTCGTTTTTGACGTATTTTAACGTCAAAAACGACATTCTTACGTCATTATTTTTGCACCAACCTAATATATATATATATATATATATATATATATATATATATATATATATATATATATATATTTTCAAAAAAAGATAGACAAGGTACTAGGATTAAGCATTTTATTTAAATTTTTTCTCGTCTTCGAGCAAGTGCTTTCTATTTTTGGAGAACACAGGGTGTGTAGAAACTGTGCAAATGTTCTATAATTCATAGCGCTTTCGGCTCTACATTTAGCCATTATCAAGGATGATTTTATTTTTCAGTTTCACTGAGTGTGTGCGTTGTGTGTATGTTGTTAGTGTTATAGAGATATTTTATTTTTCCGAACACAGCACATTGTGGCTGTGTTCGTAGTTAATATTATTAAGTGTTGGCTTTTTCTTTTTTATACATACACATACTTTAGCTCCTTCTCTCTTTTAGCTACTCTCACTCTTTCGCTTTATCGCCTTCTCTCTTTTTGTCATTCTCACTCTTTCACCTTATCTCCCCCCTCTCTTTCTTTCTTTCTTTCTTTATCCCCCCCTCTCTCTCTCTCTTTGAGATGCTACTATAAAAGCAGTACGCCACCACAAATGGCTGTCGAGCTACTATCTGTTGACCTGGCAGAACAACCTAGTCTGTAGATGATTCTAGAACGGCCCAATCTGTATATGATTTTCTTTGGCACGGCCAGGCATGGACTATTTTAAGTGGGTGTGTTTCAGTGTGTTTCTTATTGCTTTTTTTAAGTTTCTTTTTTTTTCCTTTTTCTTTATTTTCATTTTCTGTAAACCCATTTGTTAATTCTTCCTTTTTATTTGTTTTTTTAATTTGCATTTTATTTCATTTTTGTATTAATTTGTTTGTCTTTCTTCCTTAAGCGTTTTGATTTTGTTTTATTTCGCCTAATTTTTGTATCGTCTTGTTTATTAAGCATATGTGATTGTCTTGCGAGCTATTTGTTTTTTGTGTGTGACCCCGGGGCTTGAGAGTTCGGAGTATAGCTGCCCGTGACCTTCAGTCATTCGGTGTGGATGTGATCGCGATCCAGGAGACACACTTTGTTTTGAGATATTGATGCTTGTATACTGTCTAGCTACTTTGTTGACTATTCAGCATACGAGAACCAGCTGGTCAGAGTTGTTTCTTTCCTGGTTAAACTTACACTGGGTGCATAGGTGGACCTTCTCCAAGTCGATGCAGGGGAGGGGAGGTTTGATCAAGGCCGATGTCGCCTTAAGCTAATTTCGGATCGTTGTGGTTTATGTGCACAACCACTAGACGGAGTCTGTCTCCTTTTTTCATCGGTTGGGGTCGTTCCTGGTGGATACTTCACGCTTAGTCATAACGTGGGATTGAAATTCTGTTCTGGACATCAAATTAGACGGGTAGCGAGGATATAGCGGAAGGTCAGGCTATCGTAGCTTGGTTTTATCTGATCGGTGAGTTTGATCTCGTCGATAGATTCCGGGTTTGATCACCCAAGCCGGAGATGTAGACGTGGTCTCTTAAGTGGCCGTTTACACAGGTAGCCAGCTACCCGGATAGAATGTTAGAGAGAAGGGTCGATCTAGATTTGCTAGATTGTTCCATGTTCCACTGGTTAGACCGCTCAGACCATAGACATGTATGTGCCTGGATATCGTTAGGTGTTAGGTCTACAATGGATGGTCACTGGAAGTTCACTCTGTCTTTACTGGACAGGCGGGACTTTTTTTTAAAGCATTTCACCCCAAGCAAGGCGGGAAGCCACTAGGACGCAAGGGGTTACAGAAAATAGCTAGATCAGATAGGAGTGATAGAAGAAAGAATGAGGGTAGTGGATAGATCAAGGCAACTGGAGATGTCGATTGACATTACACTTGAATAGCTGGAGATTATAGCTCACAGGGAAATAGGAGAAGGGAAGGGAGTTCCACAGGCGAGAGGTGCGAGACATGAAGCTATTAGAGTAGAAGAGACGGCTACATTTAGGAGTTTCGACAGTGAAGGGGTGAGAGTGGGATGACAGCCTCGTAGGGCGCTGGAACTCATGACGTCTAGGAACCAGCGAATGCAGCTCCTCGGAGCAATTTCCATGAAAGTATTTGTAGAACAAACAGAGGGAGGCGACAGCGCGTCTTTGAGAAAGTAACTGTAGACGAGACGCCAGGGCAGGGCCAACCATATTGCATATCCGCTTCTGGAGCCTATGAAGAACCCCGAGGCAAACAGAAGGGGCGCCAGACCATATATGGCAGCAATACTCCATGCAAGGGCGAATTGTGGATTTGTATATCTGGAGGATCGACTCCAGGGAGAAAAAATTTCCTAGCGCGGCTCAAAGGCAACAGCTGACTAAATTAGTGCAACGGGAATTAGTGGGGGCGGTTATTGGAAATAAGTGGTGGGAGAGAGTTAAGGAAAGAATTGGGTCTTTCACCAGCGAATTTAGCCAACGACACCCTCCATAAAAAGGTGAAGATTCTCAAAGTGTGCCCGCTATCGCCTCTAATTTACACTTTGGTGTTGGAGTCCTTTCGCCGGCTAATGGACAGGTTGTGCAATCCGGCTCTATGTGGAATTGCTGTCCTGGAGATTCTCGAGCCAGGTCTTCCGCGTACGCTGACGATGTATCCATTTTTGTGTTGCGCCGCAGAGACATTAAGGAGGCACGGAAGGCGCTCGAACGGTACGAGGTGACGAGGCCAAGATTTCGCGCCAAGTCATCCGGTTTGCGGTTATGTGTCCGAAAGAGGTTCCCGCTTCTGGTGCCTTTTAGTTGTACAGACGGATCTATCCGCATTTAAAAAAATAAAAAAAAATTAGACATTTTTAAACTGTTGAAATTTTTATATCAGCTTTGTTTTTACTTTTTTTTTGTACGTTTCCTATGAATATGTAGAATTGTGGTATATGTAGCATTGAATGGTGATGGTTTAGTTTTTGTGCTGAATGAGTAATCTGTAATGGATAAATGAATAGGGAATTGGATTAGCTAGGTCTAGGATAGGTAACGTTGGCGAGCCTTATCCAGCTTCCCCTCCGATCTTGTGCCCCGAGTGTTTTTAATGAAACAATAAACCTTCCTTTTGACGTGACGACGTCTATTCTACTACATAACAATATGGCGTCACCGAAAGCATTCCTAACCGCCTTGGGTTAACCGGGGAACGGAGAAACGTGGTTTAGATAGCATCGTTGGCTAGGGTAAAGAAACTGAAAGACAAGAAAGCCTCCGGAGGGCAGAATAAAGTTACTGATTTATTTTTTTTTACTTCAGCAGGATGTGAAGCCATAAAGAAAATATCCATACATATGGGGAAATTTCAACCAATAATAAGAAAACCGATTGCAAAAATCTTTGATCCCAAAAAAGAAGTAACATTGACAACTGATGCCAGTGAACATGCTATACACGCAATTTTATATCAATAAGGTCATCCAATAATGGACGTCGAGAAAATTAAGGTCAACTGAAGTTGACTACGCAGATATTAAGAAAGAAGCGTTATCAATTGCGTGGAACACAGAAAGAACTAGAATTGTTTTGTTAGGACGAATTTTTTTTAAAGTTAGATCACAAATATTTAGACTTTATAGTTAACCCCTGAAAGAAATTACCAAAGTCATATCTTTTAGAATTTTAAGAGGGGCTATAAAACTCATGACCTTTGATTTCGACATCATACACGTATAAGGAACGCTATTCCTTCACACGTGAATCCAAACTAAATTTCGACATTAAAAATTAAAAACGTCTGAAAGTTCAGAAAGTAAAATACTTCACTGGGTTGAAATGGACGTGTTAACCCTAAATCGTTTCAAAATTGAAAACATAAAAGATTCTGTGTTAAATAGAATTTCTGACAGAATAAAAAGAAACACGTGGAGCAATTTTTCAATGGCAGAAATATCCGACAAAGAATCAAATTAACTGTAGAGAAAGGCATAATATACAATGGCGATATTATAATACCTTCACAAATTTTAAGAAAAGAAGTACTAAATGGCATACACGATTATATACATTATGGTATAACAGCGACACAAATGAGATTAAAATTACAAGCGTGGGGTCAAGGATATTATCAAGAAGTAGAGAACTATGTAAAAAGGTGCCCAAAATCTGCTGAAATAAAAAAAAAAAATTCGGCAAGACAAAATTCACTTATGGCCTAAAGAAAAAGAACCAAGAGATCAGGTACACATGGATTATGTCCATATTAAAGGCATGGGGATATTTTTAATTTTAGTTGACTCATTTTCAGGTTGGCTCGAAGAAATTAATCTTGTTGACAGAAAAGCCACCACTGTAAAACAAATATTAAGAACAATATTTTCAAGGAATCGTGTGCCTAAAACTTTGGCCTCAAATAATGCAACAGAATTTTGCCTGGAAAGTTTGTGCTCGTGGCTAAATCGTATTGGATGCGTCCCATCTAAAACACCACCCTAACACCCGCAATCGAATGGAATCGCAGAAAGAATGGTGCAGACTGTGAAAATGGAACTAAAAGCATTTTCCCCATTTAATGATAATATAGAGAGTTACTTAACAAGATTACTCTTAATCTATAGGACAATTCCACATGCCGGCAGATTATAAAGTCCTTCTGCATTAATATTTTCAACAAGTGAAAGTTTATGGTATAAAAAATATAAAGAATCTAATCCATAGAAGGCCATCTTTGTAATAGAGAAAGAACACAAGACAGGAATACGAATGAAAAAATAGACAAAATGCGGATCAATTCATATGCAGAATAGAATCCAATGATATAGAAATGGACGAAAAACTGAAGGTGAAGAACATGATGGGGAAGAGGGGTTTATTGAATCCAGTAAAGAAACTGAACAATCTATGGATGTTAATGACCAGAAATCTGACGAGGAGTCGGAAGAGGAAAATAAAAGTCAGACCTAGGGTACCCTATAAGAAGAAGTCAACATACACACCATGAAAATTTAGAGTACCAAGAATAGTTAATGACAAGAAATCTGATGAGGAGTCGGAAGACGAAATAAAAGTCGGACCTAGGGTACCCTATAAGAAGAAGTCAACATACACACCAAGAAAATTTAGAGTCCCAAGAATAGTTAATGACAAGAAATCTGATGAGGAGTCGGAAGACGAAATAAAAGTCGGACCTAGGGTACCCTATAAGAAGAAGTCAACATACACACCAAGAAAATTTAGAGTCCCAAGAATAGTTAATGACAAGAAATCTGATGAGGAGTCGGAAGACGAAATAAAAGTCGGACCTAGGGTACCCTATAAGAAGAAGTCAACATACACACCATGAAAATTTAGAGTCCCAAGAATAGTTAATGACAAGAAATCTGATGAGGAGTCGGAAGACGAAATAAAAGTCGGACCTAGGGTACCCTATAAGAAGAAGTCAACATACACACCAAGAAAATTTAGAGTCCCAAGAATAGTTAATGACAAGAAATCTGATGAGGAGTCGGAAGACGAAATAAAAGTCGGACCTAGGGTACCCTATAAGAAGAAGTCAACATACACACCATGAAAATTTAGAGTCCCAAGAATAGTTAATGACAAGAAATCTGATGAGGAGTCGGAAGACGAAATAAAAGTCGGACCTAGGGTACCCTATAAGAAGAAGTCAACATACACACCAAGAAAATTTAGAGTCCCAAGAATAGTTAATGACAAGAAATCTGATGGAGAGTCGGAAGACGAAATAAAAGTCGGACCTAGGGTACCCTATAAGAAGAAGTCAACATACACACCAAGAAAATTTAGAGTCCCAAGAATAGTTAATGACAAGAAATCTGATGAGGAGTCGGAAGACGAAATAAAAGTCGGACCTAGGGTACCCTATAAGAAGAAGTCAACATACACACCAAGAAAATTTAGAGTCCTAAGAAGAAGTTAAAAATCAACGGAAGACAATAAGGATATTCCAGTTCAGGGAGATGTATTATTGTAATTAAATGAGGTACTGCTATGAAGGCAGTATTCCACAGCGAATGTCAGTCGAGCTCTACCATCTTTTGACCTGGCATCGTCTATTCCAGAGAGTACTCTATTTCATAACAATCTCCTCTCTTTTAGTCTCTCTCACTGCTTCATTTTATCTCCTCCTCTCTTTTGACTACACTCTCTTTCTTTCTCTCTCTCTCTCTCTCTCTCTCTCTCTATCCACTTCACTCTTTTTGTCACTCTCTCTCTCTCTCTCTCTCTCACTTTATCTCATTTCTTTTCTTCATTCTCACTCTTTCGCTTTATCTCTGTCTCTTTTTCTCACTGTCTCTCTTTCATTTTATGTCCTCCTATCTTTTTGTCACACTCTTTTTTTTTCGGTTTACCTCCGTCTCCCTTTTTCTCACACTCACTCTTTCCGCTTTACCTCCTTTTCTTGTTTTTGTCACTCTCACGCTTTCGTTTTACTACCTTCTCTCTTTTTGCCACTCTCAGACTTTCTCCCTTTCAGTACCCCAGACATTTTGCCTTTCTTTCAGTTTTTCACTCCTTTAATCTCTCTTTCTCTCAGCTTCTCTCCCTTTTTTCCCCCTCACCTTTGATTCATTAGTCATCCTTTGTATCTCTCTATTTGATCTTTTCACTTTATTGGTTTCGTCTTCTTTCTTTTAATCTCTTTCTCCCTCTCTTTTTCTTTTCCCTCTGTAACTGCGTTTCTCTCTCTATCTCTCTATTCTATTTTCATCTCTCCCAGTAGCAGAATAAAATGGAGAGTTAATTGAATCACTAGTACATCTTCGGTGATGGCTCCATTTCAATCCACTTTTTCTTGATTCAACGATACCAAGAAAACACTAAATCATTTATCAGAATTCTTCAAGATAAAAAATGACCGATAGAAAGAACGCGATTGTGTGTGTATGAGTGTGTGTGTGCGTGTGTGTGTGTGTGTGTGAGAGAGAGAGAGAGAGAGATAGAGAGAGAGAAGGGGGTCTCCATTATCTTGACATAGGTTAGCTTTAATAAAAGCATTTTTACCTGTTAAGTTTCGGGACAGTTTTGACCTGGGGCCAATATAAATCCTGAAATAAAAAGTCACACTTTCATCCATCAGTTAAATATACGATGAGGCTTTTAACATCTATTAAACCCCAATGGCAACTACAGTGTGACGTTAAATGTGGATTTATGCGAATCAATTCAGCTCGCAATAAAAATACACAACTTAGGCTGAACGCTGCCACACTGAAAAATGGTGGAAAAAAAGGATAGATCCGAATTACATCAGTCGAGACAAACGCTTCCACTAAATACGCAGGCAATTGGTTATTTTATGAATTGTTCGTACTAACACCATAGTCTTTGTTTTGTTTTGTTTTTCGTTTTTATTTGTTTTGTTTTTTGTTTTTTTTCTTAGTTTTTTTGTTTTTGGATGGGGTATCACAATGTTTTGACAGATACGTTGTCCGGACTTCCTAAAATTGGCCAAGTTGATGAGTCTAACTATAGTCAATATCCGAACCAATATTCTGCAAATGCATTCTAGCTTATTTAGAGCCTTTCGTTCCCACACGAGCTCTGCTTATTGACGTGCATCATCCACCAAAGTTAGTTCTCGACACTCTTCGGAATAGTCCTGTGTAAGACGATGAACTACATCCAGAAGCAAGACCTCTGATTAGGAGATTGGAGGTTTTGAGTAGCGTGGAACCACTTCTTAATTACTGTTGTTCCCAGGAATCTTCTGAGCCGGTGTGGTAGCACCTGGTGGCGTCCCAGTTATGAGCAAATAGTGAATCCCAAAACAAAAACAAAACGCTATGAAAGTATGAAAATACATTTTTATAGTAAAAAATACCAGCGATATAGTTTATATAACAGTTTAACAATACGCACATAGGAACAAATTGTAACGACTTCAACCAAATCCGTTTAAAATAATACCAAAAAGCCAATATAAACTCTTTCAATTCATATAATATCCTACAATTTCTTAAATCAAACTGTATTCTAAAATATGGCTTCAAGTTCAAATCGACAACATAAAACAGACATCTCTAGTAATTTTGTCCACGCAAACATTTATATGCACGAATGCTGAGTATCATCTACCTTGTATCATATTGTAAAAGCGCAATAAAATATATCATATTTTTATTATTTCAAAGATTCGATGAAAATTAAATTTCGGCATTAAATGACCCATAAAGAGTTGTTATGCCGATAAACAAACAAATCAAATCAAATCAATGAGTTGCATATCCAAGCTTGCAGCAAACAATATTCCCAAGCAATCACCATCTATGTAATAAGAAGGTTCAACGTTGCTTAACTTTTGTGAGTGAAGCGGTGTTTCAACATGTATATGCACAAAATCTGAGTATCATTTACTAAATATTCAATTGTGAAAGCAGAATAGCATATCATATTTCATTTCTTCCAAACTCCCCCAAAATAAAATTTCAGCATTAAATGACCCATGAAGGTGTTGATATGCCGTTAAACAGACAAATCATTCAATCGGTCAATCACTTCTGTCCAGTTGTTTCTTATGTTCTTAATTCGGTCTCAGTAGCACGTCTCTAAGCATTACGAAGCCGCCATCACTTTATTTTCTCGTGGTTTGGTGCGTAATCCAAGACACCGGCTTTCAGGAAAGTTTTTTTTTCTGTCCAACCGTACTTTCTCGAAAAGATCTGTTTGATTTTATCCTGCTTTTCGCCATATTCCTCATTAGGGAACTAGTATTGCTACCTGAATCTGAAAAGTTCACCTCAGATATTAATAAACTCTGACTATGCTCTATAAACGACGCACTGCAATCTTTGACGCAATTTCCTACGATTCAACCATGTTTTTTTCCCCGGTTGGGTGGCTAATACTTGATAACGGTAATATCATGGGATAATTTTCCATCCCGCAAAATGTTTAATATCTAAAAAAAAAAAAACACACACACTAGACTGAGTTTATTTTACCAGGTTTTAAGATAAGAGATTTAGCCAACTTGACACCATTTTTCATAAGAATAACTGAAAAACCATCTGAGTTATTCAGCTAGAAAGAGAACAGCTTAAAATCGTTTTATGTCAGCCCTACTGTCTTTCCAACTGAGCAATGGTGAGAAGAAAAAGATCATTCAGACCTTCAGTAAAGGTACCAACATTCATACTCTGGCTTCCATCTTCAAATTCATTCAAGAATCATCAAGAGAACGGTGAATAAGTTTAAAAAAAGAGAGAATACTAGAGATGACGACACAGCAGCAAGACGTATCGTCATTTCAATTTAGAGCTAAATTCATTTTATTGTTCAACAAAGAGCCCAGTAGTGTTATAAAAACTTCAGCGAATTCCAGTAAGATATATTTAATCATTTCTAAGAGACAACGGTTCAGATCTTTATCTAACAATTGGGAAGATTTTGTATTACGCGATTTGGACATTTTTGCTGTTACATCCGGTATATATATATATATATATATATATATATATATATATATATATATATATATATATATATATATATGTGAGTGGGGGGTGTACTAGAAACGTTTATCAATCTGGCATGTTTCACTTTTATTAAAGATTCATCAGAGGATAGCATAAAGTGAAAAGGAAGAAAGAAAGAATTTCTAGTATCTTTACTTACGTTTATTCTATTGGTGAATCATGTTAATATATATATATATCTGTGTGTGTGTGTGTGTGTGTGTGTGTGTGTTATGCAAAGATGGCTTTAGTTGTAACTCGATCGTTAGACAACTTGAAGTTGTCTGAAGATCGCGTGTACATGGAACGTGAGATACGACTAGGGCCATACTTTGATAGGATTTAACGTTAGTAAGCAATTTTTGCTCGGTCTAGACAATGTGGGCTTCGAGCACCTATATTTACTGAGTAGGTAATTTTACTTTAGGCCTTTCTTTTCTGTTTCTTTTTTCAGTATTGTCGGTTTTAATCGATACTGTATCTGCATATATATATATATATATATATATATATATATATATATATATATAAAATAAAGAACGCAAATAGGCAGGTACGTGTTGCGTAATCTGGGTTCTACTAGTCAGTGTCGTGTTAAAAGAACCACTCAATGGTACATGACTCATCCATTCGGCAGCATTTACTGAAAAGTTCCGATTGTGCCGCCAATAATAACGACGTTTTTTTCCCATTGTACATATTGCTCGCTCGGTTCTTTATATATATATATATATATATATATATATATATATATATATATATATATATATATATATACGTGTGGTGTACGACTCGAGTTTTCGTTGGTTACCCAACTCATCGGGCACGGAATTATTTTTTATTTAAACAATAAACGAGATATAACTTATTGTTTAAATAAACAATGAGCTACATCTCGTGCCTGATGAATTGGGTAACTAACGAAACTTGAGTCGCACACCGAACGTAGGTATATGGGTATTTATTGATATATATTTCTTAGCTCTGTCTAACCACATTGAGCACTATTATGTCTACATATCTTGGCTAAATTTGGTAATTTATTTACTTACCAGCGTGTGCACGCCAGCATGTGCGCATACGGTCGCTAATATCTAGTTATCTCATTTAGTTATCTAGTTATCTAACACTTACCTCATGTTTACTTTAAAGTTTCATCGCTACATATATATAACCACTCGTCAGAACAGACTTATACTGCTAATTTTCTCGATTCTTTCGTACATTTGGTACAAGTGTGTTATTTTCCTTTTCGCATGAAAGTGTTGATTGGTTGCTGACTTCTCTTCCTCCCACTTCCTTTTTTATATCTTTTTCTTTCTTTTTCCTCTTATTCTCTTCCCACCTTCTCTTCTGATCATTTTTTATTGCTATTGTTTTAACTATTTAATTTAAGTTATGGTTGGATTTTTTTGTTCGTATATATGTTAGTGCGGGTGTGCGTTTGTGTACTTATATATGGGCTCGGATGTACGCATGCATACATACATACAAGCACGCACACACTCACCCGTGTATGTTTGTGTGTCCGTGTATGCGCGTCTAATTGTGCGTTTGTGAGCGAATTTATATTAACTGTGTATGTATTTTACTAAGTTGTATTATTTAAATTTACTTGGTGTCTGATAAGTCTTTTGTGTTTAGTTGTATGAAAGAACAGTTTTTTTTAATGAGTTTATATATATATAATATACAAACTAACAACAAGGAAAACAAACAACAATTCAAAAACAACTTATTGAACAGGAGGAATGTAATAAGGGAGAAATGCTGACATTTAAATAAGCATCTACTTTGCTACCTAAATACTAATATAAAAAGAAAAAAGAAATACAATTCAAAACACAACCATCATACCTAACATTTAATCAATGCCAAACCCATATACAATTCACCAAGAAAGAGTAACCACAATATCAACAAATAATAATCAATAAAATAATACCTAACCATACAAAACAAACACAAAACCCATCATACATATCGTCATAACTACACCCTTGCAAAAAATTGATACCGCGTTTAAATTTCTGTAGATCAAGGTTGACTGGAAAGCCCGAATCCGGAAGAGGTTCCCTTAAGCAATAGAAGAAACCGTTAATATAGAACTT